GGGACTGAATCTGGACCATTCCCTGTGTGGGCCCAGTAACCCCATTTTAGTTGGGAGGGGGGGGGGGGGGAACAGACCTACAGCTCCCAACAAGCATTCCTTCCGTAAAAGGCATTTCATTAGGGTATGCTGAAATCAGAAGTATGGGCCAAAAGGTGCAATTGTAACAGCCTAGCTGTAATATTGTCCGTCCAAAAGCACAGTAAAGATCAAAATCTGTTCTTGAATTTAAAGAAAACGAAAATAATGTCCACAGATAAAACTGGCTGTCACCCAAAAATAACAATGATGAAGAAATTGAAAATGTCACAAACTTTGAATATCTAGGCTCTATAATAAACAACAATGGAGACTGTTCGACAGAAATTAAAAGGAGGATGGCCATAGCAATGCAAAGATTGAACAGCCTTAAAAGTCTATAGTTAAGCACCAGCAAGGAGATCAAAATTAGAATTTTGAGAGCATGCATCTTCCCTGTGGCTACATACGGATGTGAGTCGTGGACTATCTCTCAGTCCTTAAGAAAGAGAAAAGGGGCTATTGAGCTGAAATGTTATAGAAGGATTCTCAGAATATCTTGGACAAAGAAGAGGAGAAATATTGACATCTTAAAAGATCTGAACATCAAGAAAGATTGGCTAATAAACAGCATCCTTTCTCGAAAGCTGAAATATTTTGGTCCTATCAAGCGCCATGATGGATTGGAAAAAATTATAGCAGAAGGCATGGTACCAGGAAGGAGGGGCAGGGGTCAACCGACACGAAGATGGGCACAGGATATAGGTGACTCCTTGAATGTGAAAGTGCATGAGGCGGGAGAACTGGCGAGAGACCGAGTTTCTTTCAGGCAGACTGTGACCAGAGCGACGTTCTGCAAAGGACCTGCAACATGATGATGATGAGCTGTAAACCACAACACAGAGTGCCAGCTGCCTTGTTAAGGGTCAATGCAGAAGAAATCTGGAGAAATGTGCCAGACTAGCAAGGAATTTCATATCTGTAGACATACACAAAAACATGTATGCAAACAACACTACATTTTCAAATGATTTATATTCAAATATTATAGTCAGTTTCAAAATTTGTGTAGACTGTGGCATGCAATCAATATAATCAACATTATTCCATAAGTCTTATTGATAGTATGGAATTTAAAGTTTAGAAAAATAAAATTAAAAAAAAAAGCACTATACCAAAGTCACATCAGTGAAATTTTGAAGTTTTTCAGTTCAGTGCATTTTTAGGACTGTTATTTGTCCTTTACAATATCCCAAAGGCATAAACAACTATACAACTGTCTTCTGATTCAAATGTTTAAGCCAGGGGTGTGTAAACTAAATCAGTGCGCCAAAACTGGCCCCTCAACAATTTTTACTGGCCCACGAGGCTGGTGTAAAATGACTACATAACCTTGCCCTTGAGCTCACAAAATAGTAGAACACAAAAACATACGTTTGTATGCAGAAAGAAAAAAATCCAAATATCAACATCCAAAAAGCAATAACCTAAACAGTGAAATCAGAAAGTGATGTCAACAAATCTGTGGAGATCCTGCTAGTGAAACACATGTTGAGGACAAACTCAGACATCAGGAGTCAGTGTACGTAGCCTGACTGATAATAAAATATAAGGTGACAACTGTCCTTTTTTCCTGGTCAGCAAGTTTACAGAACAACCTGCCTGAACAGACACATTCAGAATATTCAGCAGGGCTGGTAACAAGGAAAGACTGACTTAGGAATGAAGATATCAAGAGCAAAGTTGGCACAGAACCAATACTGAACTTATCAGTAGACAACAGATCAAATTTTTTACCATGTAACAAGATTGGCAACAGACAGGGAACCAAAGAGAGCAATGTTATACAGATACAGCATTAACAGACCCAGAGGTTGAACATGCAGAACATAGACTGCGAATATTAGAGACAGTGAAAAGTATTATATTTTAAAAAAGTGAACAGAAGGGCCCGTTGCAGAGATCTTTTCCTGCCCTGATGCTGTGAGGTATTTCAGGAGTAGAGAAAATAAGACAGAAGTGGGTGAGTATATCTGGCTAAGGTGCTGCGAGGGATTATAATCTTAGATTATCCAACAAAAATAGCATGTCATGAGGAAATCTGGGTGTTATGTTTATAACAGATTTGTTCTATATGCCTCATGGACCAAAAGAGGCTACTCACCTCTGGTTTAAACACAATTTTCACAAAAGAAGAATCCAGCACTCTGCTGATTTTGGTATAGTGCCAATGATTAAGTAAACAAGACCACATTTTCAAATGCATTATATTCAAAAATTATATTTAATTTGCAGCGTTTGGGTAGATTGTGGCACACAATCTATATTATCAACATTATTTAAAACTGATTCAAAGTATCAATCAAGTTCAATCAAAATATACAATGTAGAATGAATATCTATCTCTACAAAAAATATATAGTCACATGAAGGTTGTTGATTTTTATATGCTCTAAGTGACTGTAATGTAAGGATAGCAGAATCTTCCTCTTTGTGTTCACTGACTATAAACTCCAGCAGAAAGTTCTGGTTGTTCGTCCACTTCTGGACTGAGGTCCTGTTTCAGAACCTGAGTTTTGTGATTTCAGAACCTGAGTTTTGTGTGTGCATCCGTTTGACAGATCTGACTAATTTATTTGCAGTCTGTTGGTTCCTTGCCTCTCAGGCAGATGCACTCTGACTTCAAAGGAAGCTCCCAATTAGTCGACTTTTACAACATCCTTTTGTGGTAGGCAGTGGGTCTTTTCTTGTCTTCCTTATAACAGGGCCCCAGAACCCACACATGGAGCTAGCAGAATCAACAAGCTTAGCAAAAAACAGCACACATGGATCTGGAGACAGAGTACGCCTTCATGGAATGGATTTCCAAGTAAGCCTTTATAGAATGGGTTTCCGAGGACACCATCATGAAATGAGTCCCAGAGAATACCTATATGGAATGGGTCTTTGAGTACACCATGGAATGGGTCTCTGTGGACACCTTCATGGAATGAGTCTCTTTGGAAAACTTAATGGAATGAGTGTCTAGGTACAACTTAATAGAAGGAGTCTCTAGGGAAAACTTCATGGAATGAGTCTCTAGGGACAACTTCATGGAATGAGTCTCTTTGGAAAACTTAATGGAATGAGTCTCTAGGGACAACTATATGGAATGGGACTCTAGGGACAACTTCATGGAATGAGTCTCTATGGACAACATTACTGAATGGGCCTCTTTGTACACTTTCACGAAATGGGCCTATGGGTACAACTTAATAAAATTGGTCTCGGAGCACACTTTCATGAGACGGGTCATAGAGAACACCTTCATGGAATGTGTCTTAGATGACACCTTTCTGGGATTCATCTCAAAGCTCACATTCATGGAATGGCTTTCAGAGCACACTTTCAGGGAATGGGCTTAGAGCACACTCTTGTAGAATTAGTTTCAGAGCAAGCTTTCACTGAATAGATCACATGAAATGCCATAACTTGACAACAATCTCAATCTTCACATTATTCCAGGATCTTTTCACCCAGTTACAAATTTCTCCTACAGTTGGTTTGTTCACACTAACTGCTGGTTTCAAACTGTCCCCAAAAGACTTCATCCATTGGTTCCATTTCTCTCTCATGGCAAACCTCAAGGGTTTCAAATGCTGACATAAAGTGGTTGAATTTTAGTCGACACAGAAATTCCTAATGTAACAAGTGTGAAACAATGAACATGAAGACAAGCGCAAAAACTAATACAGTGGGAAAGGACTGTTACATTTGTTTCTCAAATTTATGTTGCCCCTGAACCAGCATTCTCAAATAAGGCCATGCATTAAATATTTTCTAAAAAATGTGTATGATAAAAATCGACTACCATTATATGAGACCCACTAATTTTAGACCCCAAATTTTTGGAAAATCAGTGCACCTTATACTTGGGGAAATGTAGTATACAGGTAAGACAAAGGAAAACTTCTACAATACAAGATGTAGAAAAAAAAAACTATAACTTAGTTAAGACAACAGAAGGTTTGGAAAAGCCAAAGCTTATTTAAGATAAGGCCCAGAAAATATAAGACAACTCAGATATCTTACAGATAAGTGATTTTTTTGTACTTTTGTTTGTACCTGTATTTGTTTTGTATGCTGAGCAAGGCTTTTTTTAAGTCGCATTCATTCACTTTGTTGTTAGTCAATTTTACTTCTCATCTGGTTTTATATTTTTTCAAGACAAGAAGCAGACAGTTTTATTTTAGGTTATAACAAATGACCCCACTGCATATTGGGTATTCTCCTCTCTCACAGTCCACTGATGCAACAGCTACCCAGGGTACCTCTATTGATTGTTCCCATAAGGAGTTGATTACAATACCTCCTATCTTGTCAAGGTACCTTTATTGATTGTTCCCATAAGGAGTTGATTACAATACCTCCTATTTTGTCAAGGTACCTTTATTGATTGTTCCCATAAGGAGTTGATTACAATACCTCCTATCTTGTCAAGGTACCTTTATTGATTGTTCCCATAAGGAGTTGATTACAATACCTCCTATCTTGTCAAGGTACCTTTATTGATTGTTCCCATAAGGAGTTGATTACAATACCTCCTATCTTGTCAAGGTACCTTTATTGATTGTTCCCATAAGGGGTTGATTACAATACCTCCTACCTTGTCAAGGTACCTTTATTGATTGTTCCCATAAGGAGTTGATTACAATATCTCCTATCTTGTCAAGGTACCTTTATTGATTGTTCCCATAAGGAGTTAATTATGATATCTCCTATACTGACCTCAAAGACGGCACCCTCCAGGTCAGGTAATTGTGTTAGTGTCAGAGATTTATCATTAACAGCCAATCCAGTAAGTATGAATTATACAAGATGGTACTTAAGAAAAACAATACTTAATAATCATCTTCTGTTGCCCACATCTGATTTAAACAATTTATATTTTAATGCAATAGTTATTTGGGACACAAAAAAGTAAACAACAATGTAGCACAATTTCAAATGAGTACATAAAATCTGATTAAAGCTAAAACAGACACACCAACAAATATAGCAAAACACCTTGATGATGAAACCCTGGAAGACAAATTGCAGAAGTCAGAGTTACAGGAACAAGTATATACATTCAAGGAATTATAGTTCTCATTGTAGCAACTCTCAGGCTGTCTGGTGACACAGGAACGCACTATCTCAATTCTCCGCACGGAGCCATCTGTCAAAGATAAAAAAAATTGTTTTTTAGTTAGTTAGACAACAGGTTATCAGCGCCGCACATTGAACTATTCAGTCCATAAGTGCTTGGTCCCCTCCTCATTAAATCCAGCAGCCAGTAACAGCTTATGACACCCGTCCTTTACTGGTTTCTTATTCTCCTTTAGCTTCCTGCATAATGTGCTTGTCTGTCCAATCCTCTTTTAACAGGCTGTTCTTGCAGTCTACTCATGGCTGCAGATTCGGTCATCACTTGGTTCTAGCAAATGTCTTACTTCTCTCAGAACATACAATACATCAGTTTGGACCATGGCAAGACCACCCTCCACAGTAGCTTTACCTGCAAGCCTATCAGTTTGCACATTACCTTGCATGCGCTGGCATGAAAATAAAACTGATATTTGACAAAATATTTAATAAAATGTACTGTTACATAATTCGATTCTCCCCATGTGGGTTCCGGGGACTCATAGTGGGGAAAACAAGAATAGACCCACCTCCTCCCCAGTGATCATGTCATAAGAGTCGACTACCTGGAGGGCTTCCTTCAAAAATCGGAGTGTGTCTGCCTGAGAAGCAAGGAACCTACAGTTTGCATACAGTTAAGTCAGATGTGTAAACAACACTGAGGTTCTCAAACAAGACTTACGTCCAGAGGTGGATGAATATCCAGAACTTTCCACTGGAGTTTACAGCCAGTAAATCAACCAAGTGATCACAAGAAAAAGAAATAACTTACCAACTCTTTCGCCTCGTCGCTTGATGCAGCTTCCCTCACACCATGTTCTACTGTTTGCATCACTGCTGGTAGTCCTAAAGTCATCCCCACAAATTGACTTCTCGAATGAGTTGCAGACAAAGCAGTAGATTGCATTACCTAAAATAGGTATCATAAAAGGATAAATCAAATGAAAAGAAGAACCAGTCAGCTTTACAATAACACAAACAACAAGTGAACCTTGTGGCTAGAAAGCCTTCATCAGCACATTATATAAATCTACAATACCACAAGTGTAAAAAAAGAATTCACAAAATCACTTAAAATATGTATTAACTCTATATAATAACCAGAGGATAATTATCAGAGATAAAGCACGTAACAAAAGGGCAATGTTACAGGTGAGTGAGCCTCTTCTCTTTCCCCTGTAACGTCATCAAAGTTTTGAAGGAAGATTAAGAATCTCCTGTACACTCTTTCCATGGCATTGCTTCAGTTCTTTTTCTTCTTCACATTCACCTGCTGTAAACACCAACTGAAATTTCTGGTTGTTTGTCAACCTCCAGACTTTAGTCCTGTTCCAGAACCTGAGTGCTGCTTGCACATCCATTTTACAGATCTGGCTTATTTGTGTGCAGACTTTTGGTTCCTTGTCCCTCAGGCAGACGTACTCAAACTTTGAAAAGATTTCCACCCCAAACTCCTACAACATACGAATTGGGGAGGCAGTGGATCTATTCAGGTTTCCCCACAACGGCTCCCTGGACCCCATATGGGAAATTACTTTAAGTTGATTGCCACTTCTTTAATGTTGTTCATGATACTCATCTCATCTTTTGCTTGATCTTCCCCTTGCTCCACGTCCATTGTTTTTCTTCAGTGTCTCTCTCTGTGAAAGCTGGTAATAGGGCATTAGATGGCTAAATCATCTCATCTGTTGTTTATTTATGGACTGCATGGCTGCTTTCTGTTCTAGTCTTCTTATTTCATCATTTTTTATTTCTATCTCTTCTTGTTAACCCTGCAGCTCTTCTATGACATCTCATCTCTCGTGTTATAGTCGAACAATGCCAAGAGATAGATAGGAAGATGGCTGTATGAGTGTTTCATAGAGACAAAGAATCAAGGGCATTGAGAATTTGTTTAATGTATTCACTTGAATATGATGATTACAGTTAGCACCAAACTTAGAATATTTAATAAAGATACAGCTTCTCTATCTCACTGCAGTGGATATAGGTATTTGCCCAGACATTATTTTTATCACCTTGCTCCTTTTGAATTCATTCTTTTTCTCAGACATTTATTTTCATTTGCATTTAACTTTCATTCCTTGTCTTTGGTGGTTCTACAACTTTTGCTGCCATATGTTAGAACCGAAGTAATGTTAAAATTGAAGATTCATAGTTTGGTCTTAAAACTGCATAACTTGGAGCTCTATATTTCATTAATGCTTTGAAAGACTGTTGTTGCTTTGCCAATACATTTCAAAATTTCCTTCATTGTATCTCCTTGAGAGTCAAAAGTTATGCAAATAGGTGAAATGGTCTGTTACTTTAATTGATTTGTTCTCCATCATGACCTCTACATGATTTGTTGTTGGTTTCTTTACTATATTTGTTTTCTCATAATTGTAGTCCTATTTTTGATGCTGTAGATGGCAAATTGTCTGTTTTTCTTTGCATGTCTTTGTTACTTCTACTCAACAGAACAATTTCATCTGTGAAATCCAGATTCTCTCTAGTCAGTGGCTACTCCTAACAACAAGGGAGATAGCTTTGTTTCAGTCCAGTTTTCACTAAAACCCAGTAATTTATATATATAACTCGCATGCATATATACATTCACATACATGTGTGCCCAATGTACCATGTCACGGTGCCCCTGATTATTGATGCAAAAAAAATACTTACTGGTCTGAAAGTCTAAAACAAGAAACAGCAGTGCCAACCACAGTCTCATCCTTCTGTATATTGTTTGTTTCTTCTGTGAACTTCCACTTCTGTTTTTAAACTGCTAAAGTAAAAATTAAAAAAATAATCAGGCTTAGAAATTACTCAGTAAACGTTTTCTTAAATTACATAGGTTAACTCTTTCAGTGGGAAGAAACCTAGTTAAAAAAATTAATCCCTGTGTGGGTTACAAGGCCCTATTGTGGGGAAACAAGAATAGACCCACTGGCTTCCCATGGCAAAAGAGTCCAATTTCAGAGGAGGTGGGAGGGGGGGGGTGTTTGTTCCTATTCGAAGTCGGAGTGCATCTGCCTAAGAGGCTCGGAACCAACAGTCAGCATACAAATAAGTCAACTCTTTAAAATGGGTGTGCACATACCACTCAGATTCTGGAGCAAGATTAGAGTCCAGAGGTGGACGAACAACTAGATTGCAAAGAAGTTAAAAACAAAAATTTTAAGGACCTTTCTTCGCCACTGGGCCATTATAGATAGTCTCTTTGGAGTTACCTACAACTGTGATACTGTACAGTTTGATATTTAAAAAAAAAAGAACTTAACACATGTCGTGTCTACCCAGTCACATTCAAGATACTATAGACAATTAAGTTTTCACTCTATAAATATGCCTACAAACAGGGCTTTTTGCCTAGAAACAATGGAGAGGTTACTCACCGCAAAGTGTTTTCAAAAAGGAGCACTGAAAATAGGAATAGAAAGGTGTCGGTACTGCGTACCACTGCATCATCATGTAGCAGGTCCTTTGCAGAACGTCGCTCTCATCATGGTCTGCCTGAAAGAAACTCGGTCTCTCGCCAGCTCTCCCGCCTCATGTACTTTCATACTCAAGGAGTCACTTATATCCTGTGTCCATCTTCGTGTTGGTCGGCCTCTGCCCCTCCTTCCTGGTACCATGTCTTCTGTTATAATTCTTTCCGATTCCGTTGTGGCGCTTGATATGACCAAAATATTTCAGCTTCCAAGACAGGATGCTGTTTATTAGCCAGTCTTCCTTCATGTTCAGATCTTTCAAGATTTCAGTATTTTTCCTCTTCTTTGTCCAAGATTATCTTGCGTACAACTGCATGCCGCCAGGAAAAAAAACCTACCCGTATAAATTTGACACTGCTGTTTGAAAAACAAAAAGTCATCTCTCTTTGACTGCTGTATAAAATAATAAACTCTGTGAGCTGCTATTTATTTGACAATCCAACAGAAGCAAATCATTTTTGAGAAACCATATCATTGCCAAGCAACCTGCAATCTAGTGTAGATGACTAAGTAAATATATATCTGGAATTTATATTTTTTTAACACAATAATAAAAAAAAATATAATTACATTTGGTTTATGATTAATTAAATTTTTATTTTTACATAAATTATAAAAAATTATGTCAATAATTATAGCTGATTATGTAAATAATTATAACTCGATAATTGTGCCGACTATAAGTAAGTTATATGATAAAAACAAAATATTTTTCATTTGAAAATGCAGATCATTAAAAATAAACCCTGTGTATGTCCAGAAAAAAAAGCTCATTTAAATAATTAAAGTATTGAAACGAATGTTTTACAAGTGCTGAAATAAAATGTTCCTATTTTATATATATATATATATATATATATATATATATATATATATATATATATATATACACACACATATATATGCTATTCTCCGAATAACGGTCCCAAATTAGTGAGGCCAAAAATATACCCTAACAGGGCCTCAGTAAAATGTGAACTGCGGACTTATTTCCGACGACTATACCACCACCGCCGAGAGTTTCTCCCGCGCTTCTATGCTCATTAGTCCCACCCATCTAGTTTAGCCCCACTCCGCGTGTTATTGCGCGGGAGATACTCTCGGGGGTGACTTTAACTCGGCCTAAGCTTTTCCGCAGTATGCTGTGTAGTCACCTGAAAGAGGTCCGCAATTTACATGTGACTGAGGCCCTGTTAGGGTATATTTTCAGCCTTGATAATTTGGGACCGTTTTTCTGAGGATAGCCTACATACATATATATATATATATATATATATATATATATATATATATATATATATATATATATACACACACACTAACACAGGGAGTCACCATGGTGTATTGGCTAGACACTCACCTGTGGATCAAAACGTAGTGGGTTCGGATCCTGACAGAACCTGGCTTTCTTTAAAAAAAATTATCTTGGTTGATCAGGTCGACCCAGCCTTGAGTGGACACCAGGTGTAATCCTGGGAAGTGAAGGCAGTCGGCTTATAGATGTTGATCACATCACCCACCAAGTGCCGATTGGTCTATAAAATAGGTCTAGCACTATATGACTAATAGTAATAAATACGAGTGAAGGCGTGGAAAAGGAAGGGTCCTTTAACTTCTTTTTTTTTTTAAAAACTTATTTATACAGCAAAACCCCGTTAACAAGGTATTTCGATGACAATGATAGATCCTTTATTATTACTTGTATGAATTATTGTATTGTGGTAACAAAACGACTAACAACAACGTAACTGAACTTTAATTGACTTATTGGTATGTATAATAATAACTGAAATTGTATTCACCGTAATCAGTTGATGAAGACTTTACATTACATTCCGTTCAAACACACCTCCAACGTTTCAAACTGTTAACACTTAACTTCTGTGTCCTTTATTGGTTGCCTAACGGTGACACAAAACCTCGATCATTTCTCGGCACGGCGATTTCCGCATCGCCTGTCAAAGAGTCCTCCAGTATTTGGAGTGGGTGGTTTATTATTTATTGTGTAAGTAAAGGTAGGATCCGAAAGTCGCCAGATTTCGTTAGCTTTGTTGAGTTTATTACTTGCAGACACCTGGACAATGAACTAGCAGTCGAAAAGTCGGAGTGAGTCTCTGGTATTATGGATATACGAGTACAACACTTTGAGTAATATTTCCATGAAAATAATAATAATAATAATACAAAGACCATGAAGAGACTGGTAAATATGGAAATGTGAAATATTTCAATTAGTGTCAGCCATATTATATATTATTTAAAAGACATAAAACAATTATTTGCGTTTATAATTATTTACCTTAGACTAAGTATTAATTAGTGAGCATTTTGCTTTTGATTTGCTCTACTGACATATTTTGAGAAGACATCACAACTGTTATTTAATTGAAATACTTTATAATGATAAACTTTTCTTTCGGTGTTATGACTTTTCTTA